TCTAGATGCTCTTGGACTTATACTACATGGGGATTTTTTAATAGTCAGCTGTTGAGGATACTCCAAAATCGTCCTTTAACATCCCTTTTCTTACCATTGAGTCACAAAATACCTACACTTTTTACTTCTATGTTTTTAACTGCCCAGAATATCACCTTATTGGAAAACTGCAGCCCCCTAAGTGTGCACCTTTGTTACCATCTCAGCACCTCTTGGACACCCATACTATTTTTTGGGAGGATAATTCTTCCAGAAAGCCAGTTTCTATATTCTGCTTAAGTACTCTGATTAAAATTTGTACAGAATATTCAGAGGTGGATATAACCAGGGCATGCTGCCCAAGCAAACACCGCATATTTAACTAAATGAGTGGCAAGAAAACTAGAATGAAGTATTTATTGATTAAAAAAGTAGTTGAAACTGCAAGCACTCCATGTCTTTGATAAAGTGTGTCTAAAGAAGCCTTTGTAGAGCTACCTGAAGAAATGTTATTTCAGACATACAGAGCCTGCCACTCTTGCAGAACTTCCAACTATGAGTTATCCTAACAAGCATCTGAAATACATGTCCTGTGGGCAGGAGAGCTGCAGAGTCACAGCTGCCCCAGAACAGCCCCAAAGGCATTTTTCTGCATTAGTAGCTTTACAGCATCTCCCTCACACAAAATCTGTTTCAGCTAATTGTCCTGTCAAATATGAAGTTCCATTTCTTCAAGTTGAATCTTTATGTCCTGCCAATGAAACAAAGTTTTACCCTACTGTGCCCTTTTTCTGCTACTGAAAAAATACTTTCGTTTGATCTCAGTTCTTTCCTCTGGAGGAGCATTTGTATCAGAAGGCAAAAGACTAATTAAGCAGAAGCCAAAATTGCTGGGGTTTTTTTGTTTGGTTGGTTTTTTTCTAAGAGCCAAACATTAGATACCTGCAAAGCAGCATGGAAAGCTTGAGTTCCTATGCAGACAAAAAAACAATGGCTTTCAAAACTTCATGCTGCTCTACTGATTTCAAACACAAAATTCAGATCATGGATAAATCCATACATGTGTGCATGTCAGGAGTAGAACAAAACTGAATGACAACATAAAGGAGGCATACAGAAACTCTAAAAATAAAATAAAATAAACAAACCAAAACCAACTGCTCAAGAACAGATGCCCTCTACTGCAGATGTAGATGTTTTCAGATGCAGACTAAAGGATGAGTTAAGCTCCTGACAATAACTTTGCACCCCTACATTCCCTACCTATCCATCTTTACAGGGAAGATTGGAGACCTCGGTTATGCCCAAATTATTTATGTGGAAAGAGTATATTAAAGTCCCTAATGCATCCATCATATTCTCCCTGTTCAATTGGAAGTACAAAACCGAAAATCTGGAAAACCCCAACACCCCAAAGAAATAACAGACAAACGTGCCTCACCCACATACACAAATCTGTATTTTTTAGTAACACTGGAGATTGAATATGCAAATTAAAAGAATGTATTAATTATCATTAATCATTCTTTCACAAAGACTAGAACTAATTGGAGAAATAATTTGAGAAAATTGAAGTACATGACAGAAAGCATTGAGATTCATTAAGTTTCAATTCTCTGGTCTGTCAGCTTGTCAAAAGTAGATGCATGCTATTCTAGCATTACTGGTAAAATACTGCACATTTTCCTAATTTAGTACACAATTTAACCCCTTTTACAGTTTGTTCTGAGATTAACTACATCTGTCACCATACATTTTTGTTAAAAGGCACTTCCTTTCCTTTCACAAGGAAATTCACATCTCCATTTCTTTAAATCAGGACAATTGAACTTGATGACATTTAATTGCTAGGTATTTTGTATTTATTTATATTATTTGAGTGGTGCCAACACACATTCCAAAAAGCCACCACAGCAGATAAACAACAAGGCATTTCAAGAATCCAAAAAGACACCCACACTTCTCCATACCTGTGTCTCCAATTCACCTTGACCAAAAAAGCCAATAAATACACAAAAAAAAAAATATTTCATGTTCCTCTCTTGATTGCCCTGCAATAACCCTCCCCAGGGAAGTTGTGTTGGTACAGACTCTTTTGATCCAGTGTAGTAAATCCCAGTCCTGCTGTAAGGGAGAAATGAAGACTTGGTAGCGTAAGAACTCCCTCATGTGTGTGTCTGACAGGAACAGCCCATCTGCGAGATGTGACAGGGAGAAGATGCACAATCTAACAGACTTTTTTTTCTCCATTCAAAAACATATGGTGTGGGCTTCACAGAGAACACACCACCACAGCTCTTCATCTGGGGATGGCACAACTACCCGAGCAAGATTTAGTCTTTGCTGACCACAGAAGGTAAACATTTCAGTTGAACACTTCAGTAGCGAGGAGGTGGTTTGTTTTAAAATTTCAAGACTCGATAAACACAGCTGGGTTAGAAAATTGTGTACATAATACATGAAATTAATTTCAAAGCTTACAGAAAGTCACCAACTTGAAAATGGAATATTTAAAATAGTTTACGTGGCAATTCCTGTTAAAATAGGTCAGCCTGCAGTTAAAGCTTCTATGCTTTAAGATGTCACACTATTAGAATCTTTTTTGCATTTGCTTCAAAATTTACCTTTTGTAACTGAAATGGCTCAGTCAACTATGCAGTGAGAAACGTGGGAAGTCAAAAACTGTAACTGCTTAAAATGCAGCACCAGCCGCTTCCATCCTGATCAGCAGCTCGGAGTCTGACATGGTGCAATTTATTTTCTACATGACTATCACTGCCAACGCATGAAACATGCATAAGTTTGGCAAAGTAGAGATTTCCACTCATTATATACAAACCCTTGATTGAAATACAGTACCTGCACAAAAATATTGTTATGCTCCAAACCCTGCTAAAGAATGCAAGACAAAAATGTCGGTGTCAGGCAACGTTTTCAAAGAAGTCCAATCTGCTCCCTGCTTGACAGGATGATAATCACCACTAGCTCTAAGGCTCCTTCAAAATACTTTAACTGAGGACTCAAAACACTCTTGGGTTGTTTCTCTATAAGAAGGCCAAGGCCAAGCAAAGTCTGCAAAGTTATTTTTCCCTCCTGAGTCTTGAGTCACAAGCTCATTTCTGTTATTTATACTTGACTCATGAGAAACCCAATTTTGCACTTGAGCATCAACTTCACATACTGTTTAAAATATAACTTATTTGACACCCTCTGGAATGCCATTCCAAAGCACTCAGGAATTCTCACAGCTGAGAATATCTCACAGTTGATATTTTTTGCAGTGTTTGTAATGGAAAAAGCAAGTTCTTTGCATCATACATCAGAAATGCTTCATTCCACTCCTGTACTTGTATTTTTTCCAGCTTTCTCTGAGAGTACAAAGAAGGAATCTTCAAAATTGACAATAAAACCCATGTTCCTCTAGTGGAAAATTACCAAGAAGTTTGTAGAAAGACAAACTGTTCAAAACTACTCTAATTTTCAATGGCAATTAACAGCAATTCCTGTTACCACACTATCACAACATTAAGTGCAAAGTTATTTGTGTATAATGGAAGCAGTTTGTTAATCTAATTTACTTAATAAACATGGCAAGTTAAAGTTGTAATGGAACAGGTAATACTCTGACTTAAATAGTAACAGAAGTTATCTTAAAACATAGAAAACCATTAATGCTGTGAGATTTGGAGAAGTGGCACAAAGACACTTTAATCAACATTTCTCACCTGTGACTGTTCAGGCTGCATTCTGAAATAACTTCTCTTCTCATGGCAGTAACAGAGACTGGTTAAGCTGGCACTACTCTGTAGGACATCAAACTGTGCCTTCAGTGTATGGCAGGATGGGCAATTCTGTATGGCAGGAGATGGTTTTTAATCTAACAGCATATATTACCAACTTGTTATTTGAGTTTTCCCTTTTTAACGAAAGAGAAGGACATACACTGGACTGGACTGACACTGTAAAACACTCACAACAGAAGCATTCATCTCAAAGGAGAAAAGCTTTCTTTAAGTGCCTAGTTTCCTCACAAAACACTATTAGAATTCATTTTACAAAGAAAACAGGTGCTTTTTTTTAATCAATGCTCCTTGAATCCATTTTGCTGAATAACAAAGAAAACTTCTGTACGATGACAAGATAAACACCTTGGAAGAAAAATTACTTCAGAAAGACTAAGGATAAAAATACAGCCTTCTAAAAAAAGAAATAATGAAGTTTAATATTTTTTTACCTAAAAGATGAAGCTCATTTCAAAAAGTTGGACTTGCACAAATAATTCATATCACCACTCACAGTGGTAACAGTCCTGTTTCCCTTGCAGGTTTTACTGGAGTTGCCTGTGAAGGTGTGAGTTATGCCATTGTTAAACCTTGAGAATTTTACATGTACCTACACACAAACACTTTTAATGAAATAACTTACCTTGACATCCATTGTTTTCTGGAGTTCAGTGCATCCAAAGTCAAATACACAGAAGGCAACTCTCAATATCAACAGTCCTACATATGAGTGCAAAATATTTACAGTCATATTAAACCCCATGAACTCCTCATAGAGATTACTCTTACAAACCACTTCTTCTGTAACAAATGCAAACAGCATTCCTGTTGGATGTGGTCATTATAAGCCTATACTCTTTTGACAGGACAAAAGATGACAGTTTTTGATGGCAGGTGGAGAAAAAAATCTTCATTACCACAGCACCAACCCTTCTTCCCACCAAGCATCAGTCCTGACAGAGTCTGTGTAAAGGCAATCGCTTCTCAGGTAGGCAAGTTAAGCTGTTCAGAGCTCTAAGATATTTGAAAGCGTCAAAATGGAAAAATAACTAAGTTAGTGGAGATCAAAGTAAGGCTGCAAGATGATCCTCCCCAGAAGAGGTTTCCAAAAGCACAGCAGTATATTTTTCACTAGACTCAGAGTGCTGGTAAAATACCTTTCTCAAAGCAAAGGTAGCCACTGGGAACAGATACAGGGGGGGAAAAAAAAGGCAAACAAATACAAGCCAGACAGACACATTCTGTATAAGTAACAACTTTATTGTAACTTGATGTGCTGAAACGCAAAAATATTTTCAGCAACAAGGTACAAAAAGTATTTCACCATTAACATCAGCTGATAAAAAAAGGCTGGATGGTTTGATACAACTGTTTACATATCTGAATTCTCTTAATCATTTCCACCCCAAAACAGGTCTAAGTCATTTCACTGGTTTAATTTCTAAAATAGGACTCATTGATCTTAAGCCTTCAAAAACCAGGTTACAAATACAGTGAAGTTCCTTGCAAAACACTTGAAATAGTGAATTCCCTTTACAAACATAGTCCATTTACTGTAAGCAGAAGCCAAGTTATGAGACTAAGTGTCTTGCTAGCTAAGGAGCTAAGCTCTGCACTAAATACACTATTAACACGAGACAAAGAGGACAGGTAACATTCCACTTGTCAATTAAAAAAAGACCCAAAATCAATTAAGCTTAGGAATTTTAACCAGCTGTAAAATTCAACAAAATTTAACATTTCAGGTAGCAACACCTCACATTTTCAATTCACTGTCTTCCATGAAACACAGTTTCAAATACTGCACATCATTTTATACTCCCAAGGGAGAAAACTTGCTGTGAGGATTTAAAAGGAACATAATCTCCATACAGGTCTTCTACTGATCTTCTGTGCAAAGGTGAATTTTATACTAAATACTCAATGTTTAGAAAAACATCAGAACTAGAGTAACTCTGTGTCCATGATTATCACGTTTTGACATACACTTATCTTGTAACAGCAAATATTATCACAATTTCACAAAATGATACCATTACTCAACTTGTATCTGTAATACTTATTCCACTTGTTTGTGTAGTTTCTACCTCGGTGAAACTGAATTTAGGAAGAAGAATCGACATGCAACTTTTCCATCTCAATTGAGTATCAAACAGCATTCTCCTTCATCTTTAAAAATACCTTTCACAAAGACCTTGTATCCTGTTAAACCTTCCCTTCACTGCAACAGTTTCCTAAAAAGGCACAATGTGTTCATACTTCTGCATGCAGTAAATGGACTAGGAAATAAGGATTATTTATTGAAGCAACTTCCACCCAAAGCATCTCCTTAGGAGAGGCTCGAATGGAAAAAAAAAATATATATATATAATACATAATAGCATTTTAACAGCAAATTGAGTCCTTATTTTTAGAAAGTCATTCTTGACAAAAAAAACACCGCACAGTCATACACACACGCGCACGCACACACAGGACACATGCAGGGTTCTCCCCAGAAAAGTATGGAAGCGGTGGTTCACATCTATCTGAGAGGGTAGTGTTGGCAAGCCAAAACATGGCACCTTCATATGTCATAGTCCTAATCTGGATAGAAAACTAAGGAAGAAAAAAAAAAAAAAGAACAAAACACAAAACTCAGGTTTCAGCCTGAAAAAAATCTGTCCGTTGATTTAGATAGCTTTTTTTCGATCTGCTGCACTTTGAACTGACAACTGAGGCTTTGAAGGGCAAGTTCTTGAGGTGTGGGGAATGAAATGAAGCTACTGAATCCGAAGAAGAAGGTTGTAATTACCAGCTGTCCCATTTCAGTGAGAACACTGCATGTAGGTAATTAAAAGAGGTGAATAATTAGTGCATTCACTTAAGAATACAGCAATTGTTTTACTTTTTCTTAAGAGCTGACAAAACTTGAAAATATACATAATAAATAAAATCAAATCTAAACAGATCAATCATCATAGGGCTTTTTCCTGTTAGTGTAACATCTGGTTTACACTGCCTGACTGGAGAAGGGGACACTCTACGATGTAGATGATATCACAGCACAGTGTCTGACAGTTTTTGGTACCAAGTGTGCTATTAAGCTTCTTAAAATAAAAAAATTCACAGAAATCCTTAAGCTTTCCATCTGATTACTCTATGTTGTTACTTCAGAACAGGCTGACCTGGGCAATCATTACACCATTAACTATTCAAGTCACTTTGCACGTGAGAGCTGCGAGTTTTACAGTGATCAGCACGAGGATCTGTAGTCCCAACGCATTACACAGTGCAGCAAAAAAATCATGGTTTTGGAATAATTGCCTTTACTCTCTTATTGTGGAGAATGCCTACGAGACCTTATTTCAGATGAATACCTAAAAACTGGTAAAAGGATAAATCTCTACAAATATATAACTTGATGCCTTCTGTACTAATTAAGTTTCTGATTTTACACTTTATCCATTATAAAGATTTAGTCAGAAGTCAAGAAGAAAATGCATGTTTAGAGGTTTTAGTCTTCAAAATTGGACTGGATATTTTTTCCTATTTACCTTTGCTAGTGCCTTACAAGAAGCCAAAGTATAAAACTATATATTCTTTCCTCCAAAAATTTTGTTCAGAGCAATTCAGATGAATCTGAATGAAATGAGGATGGAGATAGATTTCAAGACAGTAAACAATTCAAAATTCTTCCTCTTTCCTCCCTGCATAACTTTTTTTAATAGGTCAACTCAAACCCTTATGCAAATACGTTTATAAATTACGTGAGATCTCCTCTCATTCCCCACTGCTAAACCCAAGTCTTCCCAAATAAAAAGAAATACAGCATATTATGACTATTACAGTAAACTCAATGCAATAACTCAGGGAACATTTAGAGTGTGCACTACTGCAGACTTTTCCTCCCAATTGTAAACAAAGCTATCAAACACTGAGGATGTTGATATTAAAGCTAAGGTTCATATAATAAAGAACTGGCCCGTGACAAGCAGTTTACAAATGTTTCATCCTTTTCACATTATGCAGAATTTCAATACCATCCACAATGCTAGTACAATAACTGAAATGCAAGACTGAGCAAGTCTCTGCTTGCAAATACCATCTGACATTTCAGGGAAATACTCCTCGATGTGTACACAGCCTCCTCAGGTGTTAATGGAAGCTGTGCACATAAGTCAAGATGGGAAAAATCCCTTCAAAGTTTTTACCATTCACATGCCTTTTTCAAATAAGCGAAAATATTCTGTTACTTAAATATGAAAGCTTGCAATAGCCACCTTCAATTGAGTCTTAAAAAGACATGCCTTTCTTTTCTAACAAAACTAAATCCCATGTGGCTGTGGGCATCTTAAAATGTATCTAAAAAGTTAAGCCACAATTACCTGTACCTCATTAATTCATCAAAAGCAAAATATATATGTACCACACAACATATAAAAGTTACACATTAAAAGTGCATATTCAGAATCCATTTGGCCCATTTCCTCAATTTACATTTGGTCATTCTATGCATCCTTTACTTTTCTATGTTAACCATACACGTGGGATATAATTTTTCCATATACAACATTATTCCTTTTCACACTGAACTCTTTACCTCTCGTTCAGTTCTGCATTAAATGTAAACTAATGATGGACCGTAAAGAAACACAAGCAAGAGGTTTATTCTGTGTTTCTTTTCACCGCTTGGACAGCTTTGACACACACACAGTAAGCATTACAAACTGTAATGAAAATACATTTTTGGGCCAAACCATTGCATATTTGCCCCCACAATGAAAAATAAATTACGTTCAAAGCAGTATATTGCCATAAATAGCCTGTAGGCATTCGCTGAAGGTAAACAGGCTCTCCCTATATTTAGCACTTGTCTAGGGTACATGATGTGCCTCTGGTTCAAGTGCTTTTAATGAGAGGCCAGTCAAAACCTTCCAGTTAGCACAGGACCAAACTATAATCTTTTTTTTTTTTCTTCTGAAAATAATGGAAGATCCCTTTCAAAAATTAATCTTCAGTTTTCAACTTTACTGCATTATGGAGCTAGTGCAATCCTGCAGAGCCTAGTCAAAAAGACAAGGCACATTAAAAATAATAATAAAAAAATCAAGATACATTAGACTATATGGACTAGAGAGTCATTGAAGATAATTTAAGGCCTTTCAGTGAATTAATCAGTCTAATTTAAAGCTGAGGATTAAACCATAAATTATCCATCTGAAAAGCAAACAATAGGCTTTTTCAGCTTCTGTTCTGTGGACAAGGATAACAAAAACTCTTGTTATGCTTTGTGAAAACACCTCTGGACATGGAGGAGTAGAGTCAGTCCAATTTCTCTAAAGTTCATGGAAGATTTCATGACTGTTTTAGCCGTTTGCGTGGAATGCCAAACTGTGGACACTGTGCAGACGCCAGTGCGCGAAAGGCCTCTGCTACTAAGTGAGGGTGGGAGTGGATCATGGACTTCCAGCCTGCTGTTTCCATTATGTCTGTTGCTTGGCTGAAAACAGAAGCATTAAGAACAGTCACACAATTTTACAAACCAAATGCACAGCGGAGAAGAGCAGGCAAGGCAGGGTTAGTGCAGAAGAGCCACTGTAAAATGACAGACGACGAAAGCCAGTAAGGATGCCGATGGACAGATGCAGCCAATTGCAATATGGGTTTATCATCATAATCAGATGTAGGACTATTCAGCACCAGCAAGACCTCAGCTACAGAACTACATCCATTACTGCGCACTGTTTTAGGATAACCACCTTGAAATTGCTCAGGAAAAACACTAAAATAAAGAGGAAAACTAGAGGAAAATGAGTTCCAGAGCAGAGACAAAATGCAAGGCGAGACATGATAATCTCATTACATAAAAGGGCATGCTCAATTTGGGGAGAGAGAAGGATGACAAAATGAATCAGCTGAAACTGCAGCAAAAATGATGTAGTTCATCTACTATAAAGAGCCATGAAGACAGATTAGCTGGCTGGCTACAAAACCCTTCCCTGGGAGTCTGCAGTCTCAGTACCAGTGGAGCATACTTGAGAACATTCACCCTTTTTTTCAGTACGGATGATGGACTACATTCAAAATGGCTTTCAATGGCCACTGTTGATTTTTAACTAACATAGAAACAACAACAGATTTCAGCAAGTATTACACTGACATCCTGGAGATTAAAAACTATGCATTTACTCAACGTATGTATTTACTTTTTGGTGAAATACTATAGATGAAAGCAAAAAAATTCACTCTGCACATGAAGAATATTGCATTGGTTGGGATGAATACCACATTGACACAGGATAAATCTGTAATTTGGAACTAACACCTTATGCATCAATCCCAAATTTCTGTTGCTCTGCATTTTCAGAAGCCTTTCATGAGCACCCTCATACTGTTTCAGGAACACAATCAAGTATTAAGTTAGCAGTTGACCTCTGTACCATATGATCTCTAAAACACCTTTGGCAGATTTCTAATACAAGTCTTTAATCTTCTGCTGCAAGTCAGTAAAGGTAAGTGCCTTGAGAAACAAAACCAAAGTTCAGACTTCCTGGTGCCCAGAGTCAGTAAATTAAGCCAGGCCCTCTCACATTATTTCTCTGATTTACTGTGGATGCTTTAGCCGAAGCAAAGATGGCCAGCATGTTAGCTGGCAATTACTCAAGACTGAAGTCAGCTCAGGAACTTCCAAATCACTTGAGGAAGAATAAATACATCGACTAGTTCACATAGTCACAATTCTGACTTATCCTTATTACTGGTATTTTACTACTTACTTTCTACCAGCCCCTTCTTTTCCACATCATGCTCAATCATTAGGCCTGTGAAGCCTTTTTTATTCAAGGGAGAAACACTCTAATTTAAACTAACTGGTACAACCCAGCCTTTAACTTCTCTAGAGATCCTGACAGTAAGAAATAAATGCTCTACTGCCCTTTTACTGTCTGACCCCACCACTGGCTATTCCTGTCTTCTACCCCATGACTCACTTGAGCTGCTGCTGCAAGCAGTCCCACAGTCTGAGCCACACAGTCTCAACCTATTTCCAGTGTAGGCAGGAGCACTGAGAGTCAGCCAGATCGGAGGGACCTGCCTGACTAGTTGTGTGGCCTCCAGAGCACCAGTGCTGGCATGTGGGAAGGTGCACAAACATGTCCCCAAAGGCAAAAAAGAGCAACTGCCCTCCTGTCTTTGGAAATACTGCAGGCTCAGGCAACACTGCGGGCTCACACTGACCTAAGCAAGTCTTGAAACCACACTGGGGTTATCACTCCTCCAGGCACAAACCTGGTTAGTGAAGAGAATGGTTTCCTTTATAAAGGCTGCTGCCACCATCTCACAGCACTGTGTCCCTAGGAGTGGGAATAAAAGCCAGCTATTGTTAGGTTCTCACACTGGAGGGCAGTTAACGCTCCCTATCATTTAAAGGGGAAGTCACAATCATAACTGGGGTAGCATCTGCTGATTCCTACTTTACTTACAGTCAGTGACAGGCCTCAGTAGTGTGGAAATGAAGCAACAGTTCTTAAGATCTGCAGTCTATTTAGCAGTGTTTGTACAGAACATCGTGGGGCAGGGAAACTTACTTGCTATTCCAGTTTTTCCCATCTTTACACCCAAGTTGTCTAAGAACACTGCACCTGTAAGAGAGAATTGTGCCAATATTGAAAAGGTACACAAAGCATAAATACAAAGGTATTTAGAGTCCCATAAACAGTACTTGCCTGTTAATAAAGTCTATTGCTTGTGCTTTTAACTGTTCAGCGCTGTGCAAATCTGCGAGGATAAGAATGTCAGCAACGTTTTCTACGGAGAGGTTACTGCAGAGTGCTTCCTCACACATCACCTTCAGCCTTTCCAGTGCATACTGGTGAAAGAGAAAAACTACACTAATCATTCTCCAGACTCATTCCTTCTGCCCTTATCTCCACAGCTCTTAAGACAGTTCCAGTCCTGAACGACTTGGTACCTCCCAAGATTAACATCAAACCTCCTCCAAACATGTACTTCAAAACACAATATGCTGCACTGAAGAGTTCTCAAACATAAGACATGCACTAGGCTTGACCAACTGATCAAACACTTCACCCACAGAACTTTTATTAAAACAACAAAAATGACTAATTCAGAAGTTTTCATCTCCTTTCAGTTTGGTAAGGGAGGAAGAGCAAGGAACACACATGGGTTTTTTATCAAAATCAGAATTAGACATGTTCTTATCTCAAAGCAAGACGCAAGATATTATAAAATGGAGAGTTTCATCAAACTGTCCAAGGCAAAATACATTAGCCTATTTAAAACTAGCCTGTTTCAAGTTTAGCCCCAACCCATCTTTGAATTTCTTAATTTCTGTCATACCTTTGACACAGCATACCAGAAATTTGATATTAAACAAATGCATCCTCATATTATATTTTGCATGAATAAACTGTGCTTCTTTTTTTGAAAGATGACACATTATGAACAGGCTGCATTTTTATTTTCTGGTAATGCAGATGTACAACTGTACCTTATAATAGTCTCTACATTTATCAATTATTCCCTAAATAAAGGCCATCATTCATAAAATAACTTTAATTGCTGAGCTGCTGTAAGTCCCTTTATCTCAAAAAGCACAGCAGAAAGAGTATTTTTCTATTGAGCAACAGTTTAAAGAGTAGACAAGATCCTAACACGGAAGAGATAAAAGATTAGAACTGTTATGTTTATAGGGAAGACAAAGAGATGAAAGTTCTAAAGTAGCAATACTTTAGGGAGCAGTTAATTCACGAATTTGTATAAATCTTCTTGAAGAACACAAAGATCTAGGATACGTTTTATCCAAGACCAATTTTCCAAATCATATTAATAATCCTCAAATTCTAAAAAAAATTGATAGTAAATAAATATCTGAAACACTTCTGTTTAAGAAAGATTTATCAGCCTTCCACTTCTAAAAAAAAATAATAAAAATCTACTCTTTCCCATCTTTCTCCATTTCTGATGAGATCTGGTTCTCATATTTAAAAGTCAAAGTATGTATCAATCTGAACCTAAGATTTTTTTTTTTACACGAATATTCCACAAGCAAACACGAGGTTTGAGAACTGCAGAGTCAACTACTTACTTTGTCTGCAGCTGCCAACAAATTGTCAGCCATTTTTTCAAGGTTTGGTGCTTTTCCTGTGTAAATGAATCTCATCATTTCTTTAAAAACTTCAGGGTCTACATCATTTATTTCTACACGATTCTGGGAAAGAAGAAGAATCAATAAAAGTCTTTTAAATTTAAAGTGAATATCCATTATCATCTGCATGCACACTACAAGTTTTCTTTTGCCATCCATCATACAAAATCCTTACAAAATTAAGTTAACATTCAACAAAGTTAAGCAGAAAGCACTCGAAAAAGCTCTTAAAAAGTCAGGTGGAAATCAGTTGGAAAAGCTTCAGCAATAAAAAGTAATTGCAACTTTCTTTCTAGAAATGTATAACTCTGGAATCTATCATACAGGTTGTACATAAAAATCAAGACACAGTTTCAGGAATATTTAAAAATGCTTCAAAGGTTCCAATCCAACAGCAAAGTGTTTGGAATATCAGAAGTCAGAGCAGCAGATGGAACAAATTGAGGCATTTTTCGCTTGACTTCAACTAAGTCCACACAACCTAAGTTTTGTTCTCAGAATCCAAAAAAGCAAACAAAGCAGCACATTGAACAGGCATCATGTAGTTGAAGACCATCCTAATACAACAGTGGTATTGCATGTTTGACCCAACTCTACAGTAGCATTCCCTGGAAGCAACTAAGGAAGTAGGAAATTATGTCGGAGATGTAGAATGAAGCATCAGACTTTTGAATGGAGTACAAAAATCACAGGCCATCAGCACACAAGAGGCACTGGTGTGTTCTGGTTCCCTATCACACTACTTAGGAGTTGGGCTGTGCTGGACATCTACTGCTAACAAGAAGACAAAGGCCTGGCATGGCACATTACTGAAGCTGTAACATGGCTGTGTTTCTTTCAGCCCAAAAACCTCAATAAAATGCTCCAAATATTCCAATTCCACCTGTGAAAGTTTCCAAGCTGGAGAAGCGCAGGGAAGCAAAGTGCCACGTCTGTGAAACTCAACTGTACTACAGCACCATATCCCTCTGGTATATTTGCTCACACAGTGGCATCCTGCAGCCTTCAAGAACAGGTGATGATCATCTATTCCTATTTTTCATATTCTTTTTCATGAAAGACACAAACAACTCCTCACTGTGGGAGGTAACAAGCGCATAAAAGCAGAAGCAGCTCTCTGCTGATTAACTATCCATCCAAAACACTTACACAGGTCAAGTGCCTGCAGAAGCTGTGAATGAAAAGCAGTGTTTCACTGCCTCAGGGCTTAATTTGAATCATAATTCACCCCTTGTTTCTTGGCTACCATAAAAAAATGCTTTAATACACAATAGTAGAACCTTAGTCAAGTCAATCAGCTTATGTGAAGATAAAAACTAAAGCAGAAAGGGGCAGAGATTACCAGGCCAATTACAGCAGTAGCTAATGTTTAGAAACATCATCTAGGGCAGACACAAGTACCTGAAAAAACAAATCCTGCAGCACCTCTCTGTTCTATCTACACAAACTCCCTCAGAACTCACCAAGAGAGAATTCAGGAGCAGTCCCTCCTCCCCTCATGCACCCTCATCACACAGTTCTCATCTTCCTCAATCTGCAATACCTCGAGTTTTCTGCAAGTTTTTCCTTTTTCACAAAGTTACAGGTAATATTTTCAGTAAAGCTTACCTTTTTGCTTTCCTCCATTTCATGTTCAAACATTGCATTAAAAACTGGAGATCTTGCTGCATCGAGAAAAGTTAAGTATTAAATATAATCAAATTTTAAACTTTAAGCAATTTAAATTACAAAATAATAGCGAGACAAAAGTAGAAAGTACCTGCAAGGACAGATTTATGAGCTTTGAATTCTTGTCCTCCTACATAAAAACTGCAATCTGTAAATCTTGTGGTTTCCCAGAGATTCCCTAAATCTTCTGCTAGTCGACATTCAGGTACCTTCAAAGTGTTTGTATTAGACTGTCCTGATATATTTACTGAGTCTTGGACCACGCTTACCTAACAGAAAATCACAGCAAGACAACTCCTTCATAACTGAATGCCAATAATAATAATATTTAAATTACAATACCTATGGCTAGAATTTCAGTAATTCCAAAGAAAAGCAAAAAAACAGTGATGTTTCTGGCATTAGACCAGAACCATAAACTAATGCTTTACAGTTTACTTTTAAGTAAAATACAACAAATAGGGCTTTACTTAGAGACTCTAATATTATTTACTTATCCAACCAAAACAAAAAGAAAGAGCACAATAGCACATGCTACCTGAAAGACATGCCAAAGTAAATAAGTCGAGGAGAGATATGGTTCTTGGGATATCAGTGGGATCAAAAAAAAAAATTAACAGTTTAACTATTTCAGAGTTAAATTACCAGTTCAACACTTTACACTTAAATAAAATATATACAAAATTTTATACATATCATCAGGATCACAAGGTCACAGAAACTTTTCATAAGAATAACCCACAGAAATTTTTAATCAGATAGCCTTTATTTTAATGACAGTAAGTTCATACTTAACCTGCAATGTGGTAATGCAAACTAAGTGCAAGTAACAGCTCCTTCCTTATTTCCTTTTACTGTGTCCAGCTGAGGCAGGAATCACAAGTGATTGTTTTCCAAACAAGATTAAAAGCCATTATTTTCAAAATACCAGATGTAGTAGGTAACTTCAGTAATGAAATGCATGCTCACAGGATGTAATTTCTGTACAGAACTACCGAAGAAAATGGTGAAATATGTGTATTTGAAGTGAATATATTGCCATTATGCTCCATGTTTAAGTCTTTCACACAAGAAGTAAACAGGTCAGTAGCACTCCTACTTGCTTTTTTCAGGGATCTTCATATGCTGAATCCTTTTAATGAGGGAAAACAGAAGAGCTCAGCAGGTTTTGCTTCTCTTGTCTGAGAGCACACACATGAGAATAAAACCTTTGTAAAGAGCCATGCTACAAGACCTTGATCACTCCATCTCCCAAATACAGAAAATTAGGGTTATGTGTTAAGAGAAAATGCTGATACTGCCAGGATCAGGGCTTTGATTGATTTCCAGAGGCACAGCATCTGGAATAAATCTGGCATAAAGCAAAAATAGCACAGCTAAGCTTCACAGAAAGTTGGAGCACTGCAAACCAAACTCCAGACCAGAGGAGGAGGAGGATGATCCAATTATGACAGCAGCTTGGGGATTTGAGTCATTGCATAATTCCCTGTATCAACCCATTCCCCCTTGTGAATATAAGAAATTCCTTTACATTCTTCCACCTTTTAAAGGGAAAAAAAAAAGAAACCCAAAGCACTGCAAATCTTCCCTGTCATGGTAAGACTGTACATTTATAAAACTGGAAAAATTTATAGAGCTGTTGTGTTCTCTATTTCACAGTTTTCACACACACTGTGATTTCAGGAGATAAACATACACACAAAGGAAGTTTTAGCTTAGCCAAGCTCATCTTCTGTTGCCAGAGGAGAGCTGTGCTTCTCCAGAGCCTTGACTCAAAGTTCCTGATCCCTGTTGTCCACTCAGCATCCTCTTGGTCGCTACAGACAGTGCCTAAGAAGGTCATCTACACACTCTTCATGTGCACCTAAACTGATCACTGACCTTCCAAGCTTCCATTTTAGAATGCTTTCTAATATATATTGAAAGTTGTGCAACACAACAATTTACTACGGTTTTAACATATAACCCGAGCAAAATTTTAATTCAAGGCTCCTCCACCTGAGTGGCCTGGCATGTATTGTCTATAAATAGCAAGAACTTTTAAATATTCTAAATACAAAGGCTTGCAGGGGTCTGATGTTTCATATCTCACTTGTCCAGATGATATGCTTAAAATCAACCGCATTTTCCTTTTTTAATTTATTTAAATCAAGCTGAAATCCAACCAAGTTAATCCCATATAATGACTGAAAATTCATCAACTTGAACAAGTTCTGTGTGTGAGACATTATTGTATTAACTGATATAATTTTCTTGATTTTGAATCTGTGGTGATCTAATAGTAAAGATATAAGTGATTCCCTAGACTACTCTCATGCTAAGCCAGGTAAGAGATCTGTGAAAGCACTCATGAGGAAAAACATCCCTGCAGAGAATATACTATTCCATTAGCAAATGAAAACACTTGTAAGGCTTCAGTACTTTGAGATTATACAGAAAGGGAGAATTGAGTGAAACAGAGATCAGTTCACTTAAAAAAAAAAACCAACCAAAATTGAGGTTGTATTTAATCACAAGGCCACTTGTCAGTGGCAGCACCAGACTTCACAAAGTATTTAAACTTAACAACCCTTCAGGTTCCAATCCAAGGGCATATCCAGCTGATCTTAGGAACCTTTGGCAACACAGAATATCTTTGCTGCCAAAGGTGACCAAATAATCTTCCTGAAATCCAACAGGAGGAAGAGCCAACCAACACAGTCAGACTTAACTAAATACCTGCTGTGCCTGACAAGTCTCATGCAATACAGTTTTAAGTGGTAAGTCAGTTTTTCAACCAGGATACAAGTAGGAAGGCAAACACAGAAATTAGCACTTAAAGTTAAGTTTTAAAAGTTAAAAAACTTCAGACTTGTCTATAGAAAGAAGTCCTTCAAACAACACCTGTTATTTCTAATTGCAGCTGAAGAGCTGGAATCACATATCTAAATAAATTCTTAAAATATTTGGATTGCCATTTTTTCCTTTATCCTGAAATAAGCCAGAAGTTATTTTAACATGTTCACTATGCACAACTGCATGTTTTACTTCCTTCAGCATTTATAATCAGAGTAGGTCAAACACTTCACAAAAGTCACTCACATTAAAACATCAAAAAATTTTGTAGGGAAATACAGTTACATGCAACAATTAGCATCAAAATTTAAATAACAGTATTTCTCTGTGGAAAATTCAGTATTTCTTTTTTTTTTTTCTTCATTTCTAAAATGAGAGAGTGATCTATTTCCAAAACCAAACACTACTTTTAAGAGCTGTTCATTTACATCAAAGTGTTCATTAAGAGGACAACTTAAAATGAGAAAATACTCAAAAGTATCTTTATAAAACCATAAAACACTTGTTTTATCTGCTTTTATCACCCAAATAATTGTATTCATAACAAATTTATCATGCAGCTAATTTAACTTGTCTAAATGAAAATAAGATGCACTATATTTGCAATGAAAATAAGATGCACTATATTTGCAATATCTAGTCTCAAGGGCCACATTTCAATTATTCTTCCTACCCAGCATAATGACATATAATTAAATTGTAATCTTGCCAAGACAATTTTACACATTTCCTGTAAATACACAGATCAAAGCAAACTTATTAGCAGTTAGAGCATCTATCATCTTCCTAAGTCACTAATCACTTTATGGCAGCCCAGATAACTGGCCAATGTATATTTAACATACACTCTACTTACACTGCTACTTTCCCTAGTTTCCATTTTTAACACTAAGTAAGCTTTTTACTGAATTTTAATATGATAATTTAGGTTACCAACATAACTGATATTATAGAAGCGACCCATAATACTCCATGAAATTAAATTTATACCACAGCTCTCAATACTAATTTTCAGTATCAAGCACACCTTCTACAGGATACTTGCATTTGCCCAGAAAACAAAATGTAACAATTAGTACAAAAATAAAGTGTTTAATTTACTGGGAAGACCTGTTAATTGGTTAAAGCCATCAATTAGGATATTACAGGAACAAAGATTCTGGCAATTAGCTGGGGGTTTTTTATAACATGAACCAGTACGTAAACATCTCCTTTTGCTTATCCAGAGAAAAACAATCCTCTAATTCCAAAGAGAGCTGCTTTAAATAAAAGTGACCTCAGTAAAACAGCACTTCTATAGACAGCATATATGCACATGCATAAATAATTCTACAGTTGATTCTAACATACTCCTGACAGATTCATGGAGAAGTCCAACAGTTTCCAAGTGATCAGTTCAGACATTTCACATTTCAGCACACATGCATCAAAAAAGAAAACAAAATGCAATGCAGACAAAGCAAGTAAATGTGTATTTTACACGTTTACAGTAGACAACTTCTAGAGTATGTTACTGTTTAAGTCAACATAAATCTCTAGTTCTTAGAATATAAACCACTTTATTTAAAAGTTTACCACTTAAAACCTCGCAAATATCAACTTACCTCACAAAATAACGTAAGCTTGTCATCTGGTAGAAGACCATTAGCTTCATCTAGCAAAAAGTCTCTTCGGATAAATTTCTTAAACCCCCAGTCCTTGCCTTGCACAAATCGATAGGCTCTTTGGCTTTCTGATAACAAACAGTTATGGACAAACAGAGCAAGTTAAAGGCAAATATTAACAAATAGCAACACCTCATTCTACATCATTCTACATGAAGGCTAAGTGTTAATAAAAAACCCCGAATCAATATCACACATTTGGATTGTGTGTCACATTTCTAGAAAACCCACAACTGATCAAAAGCTTTTTAATATTGTAATAGTGTTATTTTATAAAACACTTGATGGAACTTAGTAGAGCACAATTTGCAATTCAAACCATATCAACTCTTTAGACCTATCTTAGGCACCTCCCAGCATGAGGAGTCTTTCAGTTCATGTTTAAGAATGCCAACGTGTCAAAACACAAACTGTTCACAGGGAAGTACCATTACAATGAATTTGTCACCACAAACACATCCTGACAATGCTCTGCAGTTGTCATAACAATCTGTTTTGACTTCTTCCTGAAATGGAAAATCTTGTTTCACAGGTTGAAATCAGTTAGAAATACAGTAGAAGCATAAAAATAGCCAAGCAGAAATATAAGTTTTCAAGTAGCAAACTAATTTTTGGTCATAAAAAGATATTATTTACTTTTACATTTACCTTTTAGCCATAGTTATACGAATTTTTTTTTTAAATCCATTAGATTTGTTGTGACCACACAACTCTTATTTTCCAGTTCTAATGTTCACAGCCCAAAAAAACAGTTTCCACAGTCATCTCAGTGCAAACACATATAATTCAGTAAGATCAGGTATTTTGCATGGCTTGTTTACTGTAAAGTGTCACTTGTTTCCCAGATTGAACCACAGGAAAGAGCACCATATACTTTTATGTAGAACTAAAACACGGGAAAGAAGTTGTTTGGGAAAGGCTTTAAGAATACATATAGAATAAAGCATATTCTGGATTATATTTAGAAAGATCATTCAAAATGAAGAGAGCAAGAATACTTCTGAAATAAGACCAGAGGGGAAGCGGGGAGGGATCTCATGAAGAATCCTCCAAGACAGACCTTTCCTTTCATTCCAAAAAAGCTGGGCAAGAAATGCATCACCATCTGATTTGCTGGATGGGGAGATGCTTTAGCCTTCTGGAGAGCAATTCAGAAGTTTAAGTCAGAAGTTTGTATTAAAAGGAAAGTATTTTTCATGACAGAATCTGTTAAAATATCAATTCCTTCTACAACCTCCAAAATAAAGCCATGAGGAAAGTCACACTTCTCTGGACTAATTAACTTGGTAGCATCACTGGAACACACCTGACCACGTACTACACTGTGTATGTTAGAAAACATACATATCATACATTGTCCTCACCACCAGTAGCTGGAAAAATGATATTCAGAACAGTTTTTCACTAGAATTATATCAAGAAAAATGCAGTGTAGAGGTTTTGATTGTATTTTCAGAATGCAGTGAGGAAGCACTCAGGAACTGACACTGCAGGAGGTGTGGTGTCTCTGTCCCTGTCACCTCATCACACCCGTGTATCAACTACGACCCCTCACTTGTGCAGAGCACAGAGGGAAATGCACTCACTGAAGTGCAGTGTGGGCTTTGAGGGTGACACAGCAAACACAAAGCACTGTTCACGTGTTTAAATCTGGACACCAAGGAAGAAAACCACATTTTAAAAAATATCGTATAGATTTTTAGGCATCTAGATTAGTGTTTTCACATCCTGGTCAACTTTCAACCTCATTAAATTGAATGAAAAAAAAAATAAATCAGAAAATCACATTCCAAAAGGGTTCAAAACTTTCTTCTCTAGATTCAGTCCAATTGTTTAATCTGCAGACTTAGATTTTACTCTTACGAGCAACAACCAGTGTTAACCCCCAAATTAAGTCATCAGTAGCACTTTAAGTATAAAAAACCACAAAAATAAAGCAGCATAAAAGTATAAATGTATTTTTAATAAAGTTAAAATGTTAGTTTGCTCTCTATTTTGCACACAGCTTCATCACTTGAAGGCAGCAGTCTGTGCATGAATTATCAATTTAAAAAGGACATCTGAAGTGGGGCATAATTTCACTGTATAAATAAAAACGTGGCATCTCCAGCAGATGGCAAATGGCCGGAAAGTCCAAGGAAAAAGATTTCTGTTGCTAATTTCCCAAAGTGAAAAGATATTTACATTTCCTGTGGTGCCAAATACAGCACAGCTACTATTGCAGAAACTGAAGACACACCTACTCACAGGATTTTGGGGTTTTGACACCTTGTGATTTTTAGCATTGCAATGGATAATGAACCAGCTGAGAGCTTTTAAGTCAGAATTAGAGGGCAGGCCAATGTCAGCAATGCTGTGCTCAGTGTCTGCTCAGACCTACTGATCAGGAAGAAACAGGTCACTGGAGATTGGGTCCTGGTAGACAACAAATGAATGAGAGCCTGCAGTGAACCCCTAAGGCAAAAAAGGAGCAGCAGCATCTAGTTAAACACTAAAACAAGCTGCCCAGATAAGGTGTGGAGTCTATATCCTTGGAGATATCCAAAGCATGACGGGTCCCAAGAAAACTGCCCTAGTTGACCGTGCTTTCACCAGGGGGGTTGGGGTAGACAGACTCCAGAGGTCACCTGCAGCCTTAGCAATTCTGCGATTCTAGGATTATCTCAAAATATTTTTTGATGCACACACTGCAGTTTCACATTTTATCACAAACACCAATCCACTACTGGACTAGAAGATTGTCTCAAGCCAAAAGATTCACCAAATGTATAGAAGTGTATCTTTGCTCACACGAGCTCCAGAATCTGGAGGCTTGCAGGGAACAGAACCATCTCCATCAGTGAAACAGATGAAGCAGAGTGAAACATATACATGAAACACAAACATCTACTACCCTTCCAAAAAATCCCACAACTTAATTTTTAGATTTGCACTCAATTCTGTGGATTTACTTAAAGATTACAAATGGGCCTAGTTACACAAGGAGAAAGAGCATCAACTTTGGGTACAAGAACTGCAGAACTTTTTAGAAGAAATTCAGAACTCGCAACAGAACAGACCTTGCAAGATCTCTTAAATCCTGGAGTAAAAGGGATTATTCATATACTGGACTTGCAGCAGCACAAATTCAATGCATATCAGCAATAAATTACACATTTTCACGAGAATTCCAGCTTTCCCAAAAAGCATTTCCAATGAAGGTGGGGCTTCCATATGACCCTTCCATAATTTTTCATATCGACGCAACAATTAAAACAAATCACCAGTTATTCCAAAGTCTTCTAATTCCCTGGGTACATGGCTCATGTTTATAAACCAATTCCAGTGTAAATCAGATGAAACAGGCCAAAACATTGTAAAGGAGTATCTAAAAAAAACCAGCCATGCATGTTTATCTAATTAACTATGGAAATCAAACACTTCCAACTTTAGCTACAAACAAGCAAATACACCTCTACTAACAGGAAGCAAGAAAAATCTGCTAGAAAAAGTAGGTGACAAGAATCTGGAGTGACAGCAGTTAGCAATGTGCTGTAATTTATACTGCTCAGGATAAAATTAACATAGCTCAGTGATCAGAAACGTGCGAAACATGAACAGGAGTTTTTAATTAAGTTTCTAAAAGGATATTAAAAAGATATTTTTAAAGTTTATCTCAGTATTAAATTCTGTTCTCAACTGAAAAAAATTACATTGCTGATGTTCTCCAGGATGTTCTTACAAATTCACATGCAACACATTCATATTCCCTTACCCATTGCTTTTGTTTCTTCTCTTTTAGCATTCAGTAGGGAAAATTTGAATTTTGCTCTGACTTCACTTTTTGGACAACTGACTAGAAGCAAATATAATGACAGATAGTCTTTGCTTTCATCATCTAATCCCTTTGGATTCACTCTCAGGCACCTGAAAAAAATGGACAAATTATAATTTTTAAATGGTATCCACAATAAATTCAGAAATATTTCTACAAGACACAATGATACATGCTATCAAAACAAATGTTCCCCTTGTGACTGCTGAAACTTGGAAATAAGAACCAATTCAAACATATAGTAAAATTCCAAGAAATGTCCAAGTTTTAAAATTTATCTGTAATTTAACTTCATATTTTTGTAAATAAAAAACCCCCCAAAACACTGAAAGCAGTTGCTAGAATAAAGACCTTACCACTTCATTTTGTCATTTGGCCCTGATGAAAAGGTAGAACTCTTAAGAACTTCACCCATTTCTTCTCGGCAAAAACTGAAGTTATTAATGGTCCACATGTAGGAAAATTTTACTACTTTAACCTGAACAAAAGATGTAGAAAATATTAAGAAAATTTAATTTACATATCAAGCATTAACTATGAGAGCAAGTTAGACTGTCAGCTATAATCTTTCAACATGCCAATAACTTTAGATTTTTTTTTTTAAACAATAACTTCGACTAGAAAATAAAGCCACTGGAATTTATGTAGATTACCTGTGTGTAACACCAGCTTTCAGCCACAGGTCCACTGGACATCTCCCCAGGAGGAGGTGGGGTGGGAACCCTTGACATTGCCACTTATTGCAGGTTTATAGAATCAAGACAGCAATCCAAACTTCAGTAATTCTCCTAAAAAAAGTAATTAATAGATTTTGTTCACCCTTTTTAAAGTGTGGGAAATACAGAAATCAACATTACTGTGTTTACTAAATGATGCATCTGAAAATTAAACCTGAAAAGAGGACAATGGCTCTGCTGGGTGTCACACTTTTAACAACTCTTGGTGCTCAAAACCTGTAGGCTGAACCCTCATGCAATGCTTTACAAAAGTAAGCACCTAGGTATGCATCACACAACACCACTAATGACCATATTTCAACATCCCCTTTGCAAATTACCACCTTGACCACTCCAGTCATGTTACAGCTTTCTTTAGGATCTTCTCCTTTGATTTGCAGAATAACCAGGGCCTTGTGAACACTCAATTATTAGTACCAAAGCTTTAGTGTTCCACACAGGCATCATTCAGCCCTAGAAGAAGAACATCCAGCCACCTGGGAGAAGAATATGTTCACACAACCCTGAGATTTCTAAAGGGAGGGTAAGAAATTAAACTTGCATTAAAAGTAGTATTTCCTCCACACATCTTTTATGGATGCCTTGTATCTTTAACTCCAAGAGCTTCTACTCAAGAACTAAAATCACCACACCACAACCATGTGATGGTTCCCTATTGAAGTACAAAGCTTAAAACCAGTTTGAAGTCAACTCACCAACTCTCCAGAACTTTCTAACTGCAAATGAAGCAATTTTGTTATGAATTACCACCTAATAGAGTACTACAGTTTCTCCTGCCCATCAGGAATTGAGTCACATGCCCAGATCCATCACATAATACCTAAAGACACATCATTAGTCAGCCTACTCGCCTTTGAACCTGGCTAATGAGAGAAGGTGGGCCCATCAGAGGGTAGCTCTGGGTTACTGGGCTGACTCTGCTCTAGGGAGGGTTTGCTCTCACCTGCAGACAGGTTCCTGCCAGAAGCACAGCCTTTCACTTAAGCCGCTCCATTAAGTTGCTAAAAAGTGAAATGAACCCTGATCAAACCAGATGAAAGTCAATTATTTCTGCCACAAAACATTTTCTCTTAGTACAGAAAGTTTCTTTAAACATATCCTGCTATCACTTAGGGCAACAATCTTCCCGCAACATTTGCCATAAAGGTCTTTTTAGTTGTGATAGAACAGCATTAATTGCCCTACTCAAAAGACCTGATTGCACATCACCAGTACTGCTGGAACTCTTAGAACTCTTCCTTCAGGGATGGGCAACACTTAAAAACAAGGTTTCATGCAAACATTGGTAAGAAGACACTGCAAGACCACATGTAACTCACTCATGAGGTAAAGGAGTTTATTATTCCTACAGGAAGAATTCTCCTTTGTGAATGGCTACGATCCTCAGTCGATGTTTTCCCACCCACCTTTCTGGTACTGCTTCTCACTCAGTTGTGGTATGAAGTAGCCCTTCCACATTAAAGCCTGCTGACATGGGCATCTGAATCACAGAAGTATAAAACCCTGAAAACAAAGCTAATTCCCAATTTTTACCAGATGAGGAAGCAGATGATATATAATCACTCTACTAACAGATCTGCTAAGACAGGATGAAAACAAAATATTGAATAGGTCTCCTGTAAGATACGGATCACTGAGACACTGAAGACTAATCATAACTACAGTTCAGCTGTCTCTCATAAATGACTTTTTCCCAAATAAAACTTGCATTTATTTACAACAATATTTAGTACTTAATTAGTACTTGTCAGAAATGAAAACTAGTAACAAATAGCACCCCTAAATTTAATATAATAGAACTTGTTTGCCCCATATTTTAAGCAGGAAACATATGTATTGTTGCGTTTACACAGATTTTGCTTACAGGTTTATAACTGGCTTTGATTCTCTGTACAGAACCATCCAGAGTAAAATTCCTGAGGATACACATGAACATCTCTCTTTCATAATGCAAATATTAGCACTTATATTACCATTATTTCAGGAAGCACATCCTAGTCAGTGATAACAACTGAAGCTGTTCCCCACACGATTGATTTTACGCAGAACCATATCCTGAAAGGGTTAGAACAGCTTAACTCAGCTTTACTGAACCCATTTGCTGCTCTTCAATTCTTCAGAGCTAAGACCAAGAAGAAATACAGCCCATTCCTTATTCTGTCATTTGCATGAGATGCACAGGACTGTCTCATCTCTCATCTGTACCTCAATTCTTCAGTCCATTGGACCAGTCAGCTCCCTGTAACCATGAAGGAGCAGCAGATCTGAGAGAAATTTGCTCTGAAGGGGTTTCTAAATTGAAAAAGCCTGAAAATAACTGCTGTACAGGATCTCTTTAAGAAAGTGTTCAGTGACCTCATGCCAGCTACCAGTAGCTACCTGTCCCCTCCTGTCTCACAGTTAAATCAGCTTGATTCAGTAAGAATTTAAGTAAAGGTAGTTATTTTCAATTATTTTCAGGTCCATCTGCTGCCTTGTCTCTGTACCACCTCTACCCAGGGCATCCATACTTTAGAGGATGCTTTCACCTAGTGCTTTTAATTCATTCAGGTCCTGAAAGAAGGCCTGATTTTACATAAGGACACTTTTCAGGTCTTTCAAAATAGCTTCAGCTTTTTGTAAAGCTTCCAATTACAGCATTAGGATGAGGCAGCCGATTTTCATGACCTCCTGATACGTCTCTGAGAAGCAGATTTACATCTCACTTGTTTTCACATGGATTTGCTAAGCAAATCAAACTTTTCGATTGTGAAAACTGGGAGAAAGCAATAACTTTAAATACTTGATATTATCCTGGGAGTCTGTGCTGAGCAGCTGTTTGTATTTTTTAGTATGCCTCGATGCACAATTTTAAAAAGTCTTACCCAATCTGAGTGGCCACTGATGGTCACCAGGGCAAAGTGGACACTGCATGGGAAGCCTGAAGGTGAGGACAGAGGTGCAACTACACACCCACCCTTTGTTCTGCTGAGCTCTGCGTGGGGAGAAGACTAAATACTACTTTGAAGAAATTGTTTATGAATCATTGATTAGCCACTGTCATCAGCTCTGACAAAAAAGTTTTTCAAGCACCAACCCCTCATCACAGCCCATTAGGGCAAATGGCTGGGAACAGAGAGAGCTGCAGTTCACAAAACCAGTTGGAGAGCGACTGGGCGGAATTAAATCAGTGAAGTGCAGGACGAGAGGCCTGCTGTCTGCAGGATGAAACAACTTAGAGGGACAATTTTCATGCTACAACCTGCATTTATTTCTCTGCAGGCTATCCTGAACAAAGCACCAGAAGTGACAGGACATTATCAGGCCATAGCTCCAAGAGTTTTCAGGCAATGTCATACCTGTCTGGACAGGGCTCAGCAAACCAGTCAGTGTGGCCATTCTGCCAGGCAGGAATCTCTGGCCATCTGAGGAACTTGCACTGGGAACAGCAAAACAAGTTTTAGCAGATGAGGGCAAAACAAGTTTCTGGTTTTCAAAAGGAGAGCAAGATGTATTTTTGAAGGGTGTCAAGTACCTTTGCTGTTTGTTTGGGGTTTTTTTTAATCAAGTGATATACTCATACTGAATGGGGTGCAGCAGTCAGTGCTGATTTTACTCTCTGAGAGTTTGAGTTTACTGTCTTAGAGAAAAAAAAAAAAAGAAGAAAAGCTCAAAGATACTTTGCTTCACCTGTACTCTCTGACCCCAAACATGATGGGCTTGACAATTCTTCTACTGGTCTCTTAAGGAAGGTATTGGCTTCACCTGATAATCACTCTACTCTCTGATAAACTCTCACCAATCTCTGATAAATCAGGACCTTCACAGAGCTCAGTACTACTTGCAGAACAGTGGGCAAGTAGGCACGTAACATAAAAAAAGAGGAATTCTCGAAGTACATTTTATTTAGGATTCAACTGAAGTGCTCTTCTAGTCAAACAAATATTTGTGTTTAACTTCAAGCTATCTGAAGTTGATTATTGCTAATTTATTACCTGCACATACAGTGTAAAGAAAGCATGGGCTACCTTCCATAAAATGTATTTACATGGAATTTCATTAAAAGCTGTATTAGCATTCTATTTTCCTAACTTAGGATGAGATCTTAAGATTCAAACCTACTTCCTATATCAATAACGTGAACTTCAAAAATATTTTGTTTCCCCTCCCTGACATTGAGTATTTATCAACATTATTCTAAACAAAGTTACTTTTCAACCTCTCAGAGCTAGACAAGAACACATTCCCAGTCTCTTACATCTTGCATTGGAATTATCTCAACTTTTTCACTGCAAAGCACCACATACATATGAACACACACAAAGAAGAATTCTCTATTCCCCCCCAATAATAAACCCACAGAACACTTATTTGAAGAACTGCCCCATTAGCAGGATCTTGGGCCAGCTCTCACACTCAGGAGCAGAAGCTCAGTTTAACCAGCTCCTAGGAGATCCTTCAGAGCACTGACAGTGTAACAGGGGCACAGCAGCAGGTGCTGCACGTTAAGCAGTGACCATGGCAAGGGTTTATCTTTGTATTTCAATGAGGATTACAGTCAGCAAATTGCTGGCAAGAATAGCAAAACAAACTGCCTTCTGCAGGGTATCCAACGCACCCTGAAAGTCAAATCCAGCCTGGAAGAATCCAACCCACAGATCAGTTCACCAAGCAAATCAGTGACCCTGTCCTGTTCCCACAGGAACGAGAGGAAAAGCACATTGTGAACTGGCTGATCAGTCCCTGCTGAGGCTCTTCTCTCCAATTTCTGTTCCTCCCAGGGCTTGAGCCTCCAGGATCAAAGTGTTTCCCTCCTGGGCCATACCAGCAAATCCCACCCACGTGTACTGCATATTCCCTTTGAATGGTGATGGTCTTCTCCTGAGCAGGGCTGAACATTTCGAGAAATGCAATTCTGTTGTGAAATACCTTTTTTCCCCTTGTCGTGGTTTAACCCCAGCCAGCAACCAAATTAACTCTACCCCAGCCAAAACCAGCACACAGCCCTCCCTTGGGAAATATTGATAGTTCATCACTGGTTGAAATAAAAGATCACCCTCTGAGGGTTAACT